ATTTTAGGATGTTTTTGGGAAAACGCACTAAGAGTTTTTTGTGTTTCAGCTCGCACATGTCTTTATATCTGTAAATATAAAAAAGTAAAAATGAATTAGATTTTTTCCACTGAAGCACTTATCAGTAGCTGTATTTGTAATTGTAGCATGAATGTAAATAGTTCTCCAATATTATCTGATTTACTGCATTCATTTTAAAAAAAACGTTCAATAATTAAAATACAAGCTTTTACTTTGATACTACAATTACACAATACCTGCAAGAACCAACGATATGTGATTGTTTTGTTCATTTTTCACATCTCTCAAAAATTTGGCCGCATTTCTAAGAAGCTAAGGCAGTGTGCTTCGATCACAAGATAAAATCAAATTCATTTTTTACCTCGAACTTTTATATTTCCAAATATAATAAACCAGTATATATTGCATTTACAATAGTATTTGTATAAATTTTATATGAAACGAAAAAAATCTGTAAATACATGTACTTATTTTCAGTCATTTTATAAAAAATTTATAAAAATATTCGAATAAATGAAGTATTATATAAAATATTTCATTTATTTGAATATTTTTATAATTTTTTATAAAATGATTAAAAAAATACATGTAACTACAGATTTTGTGTGTGTGTATATATATATATATATATGATACAAAATTAATCACTAAAAATATATCTTGTAAATACAATATGTACAAAGCAACTGCCAAAACCTCAAAAGAGAGTTGCCTTAACTTATTTGGAGAAAATGTTTAAAAAAAAAAAGTAAAAGAAACATGTGTGTTCGAGAAATAAACACTTACTTGCTACTTATTTTAATAGTACCCAAACTACTTTTCATAGAATGTTGTGTTTCTATTTTAAATAAATCATTATTTTTGTTAGTTATATTTGAATTATTTACTATATTCTTCTTTTCAACTATTTTACAATTCTCAGGTTTCTTACTTTCTAATGCAAAATCTGTTGTATTAGACAAGTCATTTTGTGATTTAGTTACAGTCAATAGATCAGTTCTGTCATTGCTGTTACACGTTCTTCCATCAATTTCTCCTGAACATAGCGGAAGTTCTATATAAGATGCATCTTTTGACGTATCTTTATCAGTTGACTTATCGAAAATATCTTTTCCCAGATACTTTGCCGTTAAAGAAATACGAGACTTCATAGAATTATCAACAGCATTTGATATATCTGTAAGTGTACTATCTTGAAGTATAGGAGGTTTATCACCTATTTTATCAGGTTTCACTGTTATAGCTGGCTGAACAGCCATAGCATTATTTTTTGGTACAACAATATATCTCTTGCCTCCCATTAGAGCAATATTCTGTGCTGGTTTTGGTAAAGTTCCATCGTGGCTTTGTAAAAATTCATGTTCTGTTTGAGCAAACCAACTGGTTTCTTTATTATCTGAATTTAAAGGAGAGTGTGATGTTGCAGAAGATGCTTTTGAAACCTTAGTAACATTTCGCGATTGTAAATCTGCATTATCAGATTTGGGTATTCGTTGAAGCTTTGGAGGAGTTGAATTTACTTGATGTTTTGATTTTGCATTTTGTGCACCTAGCATGCTAATTGGTATCAGTGGAGGAGGTGTCAAAGATGGATTCGTTTGAGATTGATGAAATTCTTTAGTATCCTGATGACAGTTCTACAACAAAATTAACACTATTTAACGTATAATTACTGTTAGCCTGTTTGCATTTTATTACATATTAATATATTAAAATGAATTAATATATTAAATAATTAGAAGACCAAAATAGATTTCAAAAAATCAAAATATGTATAATATTTAAATAAAAGATTTCAAAATTACGAAATAAATTATATATTATTTATATATGGAATTATAAAAAAGTATAACAAGTACTAACTTATTAAAAGTACATAAAAATTTTTATGAAAGTACAAAATGAAAATACATTTAAAAAATCTTAGAAAAATATACTTTTATTACAAAAAAAACCTACCTTGCAAACATAATTGTCACTCCGTGCAAATTCCATACCATCAACACACTCAGGATGATATAAACACAGACATACACGACATTGTAAGCTTGGTATCAATCCCGTACTCGTTGAGCATCTTATGCTACATGGTTCTTGAACTTTGGGCCTGTAAGATGTGCGTTGATTGGGGAGAGGGATTAGGAATAAAACACAAAATTTAAATAAGGGATTTTAGGATGAAAAGGATAAAGGAAGATACAGTTATGAAAAATATAGAAGGAAAAATTTTAACTATTTGAAAATAAAATTTTCGAATTCTGTAATTACACATATTTTCTATACAGCATGCACTTTAATCTTCAAAATGTGCTCTAATATATTTTTTAATTTATAATGCAAAATGTAAAATTATTTTTTTAACGTCTTTTCATTGCAATCATTAAGAAAATTTTTATATGAATATGAAATTCAGTCAATAAATAAATATATTAATTATTGAATAATAATTATTATAAAAGTCTAATGGAACAATTTTACATAAAAAATGTAACACATTTCTATACATTATGTGTGTAATAAAATTCTATGAAATTTTTTTCATAAAAAAATATAACAGATGCACATGCTGTAAATTTTTCATTGGACCTTTTTTAAAGCATATGACTATATCATCTTGTGATAATAAATATAAAATACTATTATCATCTTTAATTAAGCGTTTAGGATACCCTTGAATATTGCAAACTAATCACAATAGAATGCTATATTAAAAATTATTAAAATATCAGATACTTACGTTAATTGTCTTTTTGGTTTAGGCGGCGGTGGTTTTTCTACAAGTAGCTGACTTCTTCTTGTACTTGTCCTTTGAGGTGGAAGTATTTCTCTTTCTTGAGAAGATGATTTCATTTCTGCTATGAACAAAAATATTTGTAATAACAACTTTCCATAAAAATATAAAAATTATATGTAATTAATTTTTTAAACTACCAGACAAAACTGAATTATAAAATTTATACATTTAAAACTTTCAGCTATTAAACAAAGATATTTGAAATAACTGAATGACATTCTATATGTGGCAATTGATAATAGAAAGAGAATTTTTTACTTAAATACATAAATTTCACAAAATTTTACAAATAATAAAAATTTTATATTAACATTAATGCATACTTATTTGAGGAGTTTTCTTTGCAGGCACTTTGACTTTAAATCCTGTTGGTGTAGGTTTTGATTTAATAGTGGTTTTTGTAGATATTGGAGTTGGAACTGCTGCAGATTCTTCTGCAATTTTTCTACTAGATGTAGCTTTTTTATATCCCATACCTCTCTTTGGTGGAGTAGTAGATACTCCAGACCCCTATTTTCAAATTACAATTATTATTTATTGTTTATTATTAAAATTTTAATAAACTTAACATATATTTACCCTCATTTTTTTTGCATCTCGAATAATCTCTTTTTCTGGATCATCAAGTCCGATTGGTTCTTTGAAGAATGTAAAATTATCAATAGTTAATTCTTTTGTATTAACTGAAAAAAGATGTCATTATTATTATTTATTACATTAATTAATTATATATTAATGTACAAAACTATACTTACGAAATTCTGCAACTTCTCTGAAACTTCTTACTTTTTTACCCTTTGGTGTATAATAATAAATATCAGCCATTCTTTTGAGGCTAGAATCAGTACTTGCTCTATATACCAATTCACGTTTCCAACCATACTTAAAAGGTTCTTTGAATGCTGGATTCGACATATCAACTATTATCTTTTGTTTCCCAATACTTGATGGACTGGTTCCACGTAATAAACGAGACTTTATCGATGTTGCTGGACTACTGGCTGCTGATGAAGAGTTTGTTGATCTGAGAGAAGTTCCATCTGTTCTTTGTATTTCTGTTTCAGATTCATTTGGCATTTCAATCGAATCTGTTTCTGATTTATCAGACTCCTTTTCTTTCTTTATTTTATCAAAATCTAATATATGTTCACTATCGCGCATTCTATTGTCATCCAAGTCTTCATCATCTTTCCTTGTATCAAAATTCTTCCTTACACTATATCTACTTCGTTTTGTTAACTGCATCTCTGCTAGCTCGGCCTCAGCTATAATAAATCACATTAATGTTATCTAATTCCTTCAAAATCACTTTTATCATAAATTTCTTATAAAATATCTATGTAATTAAAAGTTTCTGTAAATTGAATAAATGCTTATATTGTAATTTTATTTATATAATACAACTATGTTAAATATATAGCATTCCATATACATATACATCATATTTATATAATTTCAAATCTCTGACTTATATTTAATTACAACATGAAACACTTAATTAACATAAATTCTTGAGATGTGGTTGAATTGTGATTGAATTGAATTCATTCAATAATTAACTCAGTTGCTTATTAAGCAATATAAATCTGCAAAAATATATTCATTCAACAATTAACTCAGACAATTTGTTATTTACATATATCTGTAAAAATATAATGGTCTGCTGTAAACAAAACATAGTTTTTCCACTCTCTTGATGACAATGGCAAACATAAAATTTGCATTTTAAATAAACCTGAATGTAATAATTACCGATACCAATTAATTTTTTCAAGATGTGGCTCGCTTGCTCGACTTCATTGTAGTCGCGCGTATCGAATCCATTGAACTCCATAGATTCCTCTGAGTTAAGGTCGTCCAGTTCCGATAGCTTCCGTTTGCATCCTTTTGTATTTAATATTGTATCACTTTCAACGATACTATTCGAATCAGCGTCGAACTGCTTTTTTTTAATATTGAGTTCCATACCCTTTTTCAGAGAGCTCTTAATATCGCCGTTCACATCCTGCCCGTCCATTTGGGTAACCGATTCCACTTTAATTTGCGACGCTTGTACATTCGGCATACTGGCAGCATCTAGGTTAGGTTCTTCGCGTGCCCCGTCGGCATTCCCGCCATTCACATTAGCACCGTCCATTGTAAGGCCCCTTTGGGACCGAACGCCGAGCCTACGTGCTTCAATAGCCGATATGTCGAGAATGTTGATTTTTCTGTTACTTGCCACTTCATAAAATACTCTACCGAAACGTCTTTGTCTCAACACTTGAGCAACCTCTACTACAGTCCCCTCGCGTCTGGGCAACACAATCCCGCGCTCATCTGTCTACGAGTGCGCATCACATACGCGCAGACACCACTACGCGCTATTTACACAACCGCCAGGATTTCTTTTCGTACGATTCCAAGCAATTCCACATTACGTCATGCTCATGCGAAATTATCCAGGAGAATTCTATTTTAATGGGAATCACTTAATTTCCATGAATAGAATACTTGAACTGTTCGAACGAAGAACAGAAGAATCCTCGGACAGGCACAAAGCGTCCATAAAACGCACGACCGGAAATGGCCGAAAAAAAATATCTTAAAGGCGCATTTTCAATGCATAACAGTCCCCAATATGCTATATCTTGAGAACAATTCTACGTTATTTGTAATTTTAAACGGAATTGTAACGCAAAATTCACTGTGAAATTCATAAAATTCAACGAATCGTTCCGCAATTTACACCGAGTTTAATATTTTATCTATACGGAAATGGCTGGTTAATTACTTGATATCCATATTCGACGTTGATAAATAATGCATTTGGCTCTCGCATTCTTTTTTTTTATTTGCTTGTATATATGAAAATGTAATATGTCAATGTGTATTTAATTTTAGAACATACCCGCGATAAATTAATTGAACCATGACCAAATTATTTCTTTGTGAAGGCACGCATACGTACATATATATATCGTATTCTACAAACACCATTCCTTACCACTCCAAAACAAAGAAGACAGCGAAGTCTGAAAGTCTGTGACGTGCACAGTGAAAACACATTTGGAATTGACAGTTTCCCAAATATTTCTCTTTTTCTTTTCTTTAATTATCAACTAATAAAAATATTACTTAATAATGTTATCAGTCTAACAAGGAAAATTTATATCTTCCGCAATTATATGTACAAGGTGAGCCTGAAGTTATGTTTTTCTATTTTACTACTAATTTAAATACGATTCTAAACTTACCGATTTTCCCTTGATAATTAAATCTTTTTAACAAACGGACAAATATTTAAAATCTTAATACACATTTTATTTATCGTGTATCGAAATTTATGTATATCAATAAAATAATAAATAAGACATGTATGAAACAAACTTATTAGAAAGACACTGTACAACGTGTATTAATTTGAATTAATTTTTAAATGATATTTGAAATAAACATACGTATATTAATAGATAATAGATGTACAATATTCCTTAAATTATGATTAAATACTTCATTCAATAATTTAATAAAGTGATTTATTTGAAATCTATTACACAAGTTTTTAATGCTATTATTGTACCATATAAAATTATATTGTATCCCCTATTTCTTAGAAATAAACACATCCCTCAAATGGAGCGTGTTTTGAAAGCTGTACCAGCAGACTTAAGAGTAAAAATGGAGGCACTTGTGCATGATTTAACTTTGGCATTAGAAGAAAGCAACAGCAGTGCAAATGTGAGACGCAGATGGGGTATTAGGAGAAGAGCCCGCTCTACGGGCAATATTCGTAAGTATAAAATAATGAAATATAAAAAAACATAATTTCTTTTGTCAAATTATTCCAATATTTTATAAGCTTATGCATTATGTTAATATGTCTAAAATAAAGATTAAAATGACATATTCTAATAACATTTCTATGAAATCAGTTCCAGTCTACTTCTACAAGGCAGACAAAGGATTGTTGTCAAGATTGTGTTTATAGAAACCATATTTCATTGCTCAAAGAAGTCAAATTTTATAAATTTTTGAAAAGTAATTTTTAACACTTGAAAATTATCAAAGAAATTTGGAAAATAATCTTTAAATACTTATTTTTTATTTCAGCATCACTTCGTATGAACAAACAATCAGATGACAGTTCATCTTCTATTTGTGACATTCATGTCCCAAAAAGTAACACTGCCTCTAAATACCAGTCTGATAGTGATGATACCAATCAAACAAAAAGATTTGCACGCTTTTCTAATTCAAATAATGCTAGTAACATTGAAAGTGACTCGGTTAATGAAAATTTTGTACCCAGAGTAAATCCACGAAGAAAACGGAAATTTAAAAGAATGGCTATTGATTCTGATTCTAATCCTTCAACCTCTCAGACCGTTGTAATGTCAGCAACACTTGCAAACAAAAAGAGAATTCTCCGTAGTGATTGTAAAAATAGATATGGAACAATATGGTAATATATTAAATATCAAATAAACGTTCCATAATAATAAAAGATTGAATTTCAATGTTACAAGTTGTCACAAAATGATCTTCTGTTGTAGGTGTGGAAAACGTAAAAGGTCTTGTAGGGAACGGTCTACAGATTGTGATATGAGGTCATTAAAACCAAACAGGAATACAAAATCAAAAAATCGCATCAAAATGCAAACTGAAGATGGTATTGATTGCTCAAGAATATCTAGTTCAAGCATTTCATCTAGTGATTCAGAAGCTGGACTTATCACAAATGACGAAGATCGCGAAGGTATTAAATTATCGATATGTACAACAAATACTATTAGATTGTATAATAAAAGATTCATTTTGGGAAATATTATGAAAATTACATGTAGTAATTACAATATGTTAGAATATTTAAAAGAAAAATATTGTAGTGGAATTTTATTCAATTGTAGTAAGTAACACAAGAGAATATGAATAAATAATAATCTTTATATTAGTGTAACATAATGAAACAATCGTTTCATATAAATAGATTTCTTTCATAATAAATGTAAAAATACATTGAGACTTTTTGAAAAAAAAAAAAAAAAAAACAGAAGCTTCAAAATAAAATGTTTGGAACAGAAAACGAAATAAAAAAATATATATACTACTGATTAAATAGTGCTTATAGCACTTTTTAAAAAATATTTTATATTTATATTTTATATTTTTTTTTAATATTTTATTACACAAAAATATGAATGTAATCAGTCAATCTTTTTTATCTTTAGGAGACGATGAACAATCAGACTGGATTGGAGAACCAAGCTGGTGGGACGATGGTGAAAGTGCCAATGAAGATAAAGTTAATACTGATTCTCCATTCCAAATGATGATACATGGAAATTTTGAACATACCACAATTGAAGCCAGGAAAAGTTACAGAAAAAGAATTCAAAGAATTCGAGAAGGTCTCAGTGGAAGAGAAATCCGTGCTGGCCGACGTCATGTTGACAATAAACCTGGATATTCGATTATTACGTCAGCCAATGAAAAAGTCTCTAGATTTTTACAAGATCCTACACAGAACGAACTTAGATTACATCCTATGCGACAGCCTGAACGAGAAAAACTTCGTCGGCTTGCAAATTTGTACAGTTTAAGTTTAAAAGGAGATTTAGGTTGTCCAATCTTATATAAAACTCGGCATACTACGCAAGCCATTTGCGTAGATCAAGTATCATTTAACCGATTTTCTGGTTACAAAAGACTGAGAAGAACTCCACCAAATTCACCTAATTCAGAATTAATGATACCTAATCAAGAGCATCAAATTTCTAATACGAGTTTTGGTTCACAAGTCATAAGTCCTACATCAAATTTAGATTCATTGCAAACTTTACCACAATTTTCTCACTTCAAATGGGATTCAAATAGCATGGATATTGAAATTCATGGAAAACCGAAATCACATGATTTTGATCATTCAAAATCAAGTTAAACCAAATAACGTTTCAAATAATGTTTCATAAAATAAATTATTTATGTGTACATTCATATGGTGCTTCAATATATGACTTTTTTAACATATAAAATTATTAAATTTTCAATGTAAGTTTGTTATATTATTCTCAACTGTGATTATAATTATTTAAATATATAATTTTCTTAAATATTTTCAACCAGTTTGGTAACAAATTTGTCAACTGTTTTGTATCCAATATTCTTTTTATCATATATATTTACATTAAAATTTGATTCAAGTATTATACACAACTTAATATATTGCTAATTTAAACATTATTTATTTTACAAATTCTGAGGCTTTTTAATTTCTCTAATTTTTAAATAACATACTCATTTATTTGTAATCAGTCGGTAAAGAAAAATTATATAACAGTAAAATATTAAAAATAATTAATTTACATACTTTATTGACACAATGTTCAAGACTTTTTACCCTCTGTTATTTTTTTTTGCGCAGCAAGTACATTTTCATTAGCAAGCATTTGAAACTCCTCAAACCGTTGTGATATCCTCTGGTTCATCTTCAAATATTTTTCCATGCAGTTTAGAGCACAAGTTTCTTCCTTTGCTTTGACATCTCGTGTAGTAAATTCATTTATACAATCAATGAAACAAGTTTCTATCAGTTTATTATAGGATGTCACAAAGTCTCGTACCTGAAGTATTATAAAAATCCTAATTCAAATTTCTATTCTTTACAATTTATTTTTATTTTTACATAACAAAATTTACAATCTCTCATCTTTGTACTAACGAATATCATATTCATCATCTATTTATAAATGTTTAATTCAATTTTTCTATAAAACGATACATTTGAAACAACTACAAATACATACAGATTTAATTTGTTCAGGATCCACATTTGTAGGAACTTGCATTGCCATTGCTAATGATTTAGTTTTTGTTAAGATACCTGTACACAAATACTTTATTGATATACTATAAAAAATTAAAAGGAATTTCGATGTAAATTAATTTAAGGTTAGATTCGAGCTACTCTTGTAAAGCACGTGTAAGCTCAATACACATGCACATTCCACGTACGTACATGTAAAATGTTGAATTACTTACCTTCCTGAGAATTTTATAGAGATTTTCGATCCTAAAACTATCAAATCGAAAAGTTTCGCAATCATATGTTCGAAAACTTGTCTCTATTAATCAGTCATACATTTTTCGGAACACATAAAGCTACCTTTTCGAATATCTATAGAAATGATATATAAAATAAGATAATAATTAATAATAAAATTAAATATAAGCAGACTATGCAATTACTCAATATTTGTTTAATTGAATAATTTATGTTTACATATAAAATTATATTTCTATAATTATATTTTTAAGATACTGTTCTATAATTATATTTTTAAGATACTGTAAGGAGTTAATGAGAAAAAATATAGAAAAAATATTATTGCGTAAATCAATGTATAATCAATCGTCTTGAAATTAACATAAAAATTATTTATTATTACCGCGCAAAATTTATTAATGAAAGGATAAGGACTACATAAAGAACCAATCAAGCTACGGTAGAAAACGAACAGATGTTTCGTGTCAGCAGTTAATCGTAGTATTCAGAGACAAAGTGTGGCTTTTATTTTGGATAATTCAAGGATCTTTTATTTGGAAGGTAAAGTGACTGTTTATATATATTATTTTAGTAATCAATTTCTCTATTAAAATGAGGCAAATTTATAAATTTAGTAAATATGCATTACGGTAAAGAATTAAATATTGAAATTTAAATATATGAAAAAAAAAATTAAACGTAGTACATAATAAATTATAGTAAAATAAGTATTCATCAATTCATCAATTATTTACTTGGTTGTATAAACATTTTTATACAAAATCATTTTCTATACATTATTACATCGTCTATCAAATAATATTCTTATATTATGCGAGATTTAATCTATGATTTAAAAAGTATTTCTTTTTTTGAAAATATATATTTTTTTGTCTAATTTTCTATTGTACCTTACTGTAAACTTTATTAGTCAACTATAGTAACGATGCAAAAATAATTGACAAACGAGAGTTCGTAAAAGCAACGAAATTTTTAAATACATATACGTTACACAAGTGCATCCTAATATTTTCAAGCAAAATTAACAAGACATATATTTTCAATTCGTCGTACACATACTGTTGTACTACAATAATGTTTGTATTGTGCTAAATTCCAGTCAAATTTTACAAAATTACGAAATGTTACCCACAAAGTTCTTTTGTTTTTTATTAGTTGTAAATCACAATGCTTTATTGGCGCTGTTAGCATTGTGTTTCGTGACTTTTTTGACGGCAATGCTATATCCATTACCAATTGCTCGATAAAATGATTAGCGAATAGATTCCAAGTAAGTGAACGATTAATCTTTATCAATTTTTTCATATGTAACCTAATTTCAATACAATCAAATTTTGTTTGATACCATAAGGAAATTGTTATATGCAATGAACGTCGCTTTCTATAGATGGCGCAGTGCTTCAATTTTTCGTTTTTATTCATACCATTGGATTTATTTAAATTTATTTCATACGTACACATCTACGTGTATATGTATGCGTGCGTTATATACTTACGTAATTTTTACGATTTTAGATATTTAACAATCCATAAAAATAACTTTTCATCTTTTACGAAATTGCTTTCGAATTGACAATGTTTTTACTTACTATATATTAGCGATATAATATTTTACAGTCTCATACATCATTGTAATTAATTATTGTACGCGATACAATATTGTATTATCGTAATTATATTATTTCAGGCATTATGTCGGAAAAGGGAAACTCGGTCGGTGCAAGGTTTCAAAGGATGTCACACGATAATCGAAATATTCCTTCAATCGGTAAAACTCTAAGTTCTCTAACCGATAGAAGATCATGTCTGACAAAGTCACAACAGAAGTCGTCTGTGTCGAAAATATCTGCGAACAAGAAGAAAGGAAAATGGACGAGTAACTCGACCGCGAAGTATCAACACGCGATAAGTATTCCTATTAAAGATGAAACTATAAAAGTAAAAGCCGTTGAATCCAAAGGATACACGGATTCCATCGGCAACAGAAGCTACGAAGATACGATTGACGACGATCCAATTACTATGTTGCGCAAAGAAATGCAAGATTGGAGAATTAATGAACTATTAACGTCTAGAACTGAAGAGAAACTTACTGGAACACCGAGTGAACAACGTAGTTACAATTACAGTACGTTACGAATTAATTCATTAAAGGAACACCTACAAAGTATTGTTTTTCACATTTGTAACTAACCATCGTTACATTTTCATTATTCACAGTCTCATCCGGAGAAACCACGAAGAGGCAGCAAAGTTCTATCGATGTTTCCAAGGCTTCTACAATGCGTGCGAATTTGCCGGCTACGTGAGTATTAATTTTTATGCATGTTTATTTATGCCATTTGTGCAATTTTATCAATGTAGATTCGCATTTAAACGCAGATTCATGGCAAATTAATATTAATGCAATTTTTACGTAATCCTGAATGGAAGGAATTCGCATTCCATAAATTTGAATCACAAATCAGGCTGCATTGTGCTTCTGTCATTGGACAAGCATAATGCTTCTTCGTGCTTGCTTCTTTTTAAACATGTGTTCCGTGTTCACGCGGAAGCGTAAAATGTGTATTTATTTAAGTATGAATTATTGTTAAATGTTTTATCATGGTGTTGTGATAATTGAGTGTATGACCAAGGTAAGTGGGGAGAAAATTTATTTTTCGCTGGTAGCAATTTTTCGTGACCATTCTAATAATGACTTGTGATAAGGCGCGCGTTTTTCTTCATGTTCGATAAGACGTGACCAAGCTGATTGCTATGCGTCGAATAACGAAAGAAAGAAAGAGGCTCGAGAGTACCTTACATAAGTAACTGTAAATGAAGAACGATGGGAGAAACACAGTAGTGTATCTTCGCGATGCATATGTACACGCAGGAAAGACTACGTCATTCTGGAATTTTCGAAAGTTTCGTCTAACCGGTTTCTGATTGCGCACACAGTAAGACCCGTTTAAGTACTCGTTGCTGCTTGCATCAAAAGATGAACTCTGTGTAGCGTTTTAATTTAATTAGCTGTTTACTTTTTTGTTCGTTAAATTCTAGATGAACATATATGTATACAATGACGTAATATTTCGAATGGAATTAATCAAAACACGTAGGGAATTATTATTCAAATTTAATTACAACTTTGAAGGGTTATTGATCGTTTTTTAAAAGCATACTTCGTTCTAAATATACGTACGTAATTAATCATACTCAGATACTTACAACTTGGCAAATTAGACAAGTAATGGTTACACAAACAAGGAGGATATTTTTCGGGATGTCAGGTCTCGCTTTAACTTTCGCGCGCTTTTAATGTGGTTCGTCACGGCGAACGGTTTAACGTGCACACAGATAAGGCGTATATTCATCTGTGGAGGTCGTTGTAATTCGTCGGCAGTACCGTCACGAATGAAAAATGATAATGAGCATAGTGCTGTAGGTTAGTGAGAACAATAGCCACTTACACTAATCAACGGAGGTGCATGCCACGTGCGTTCGGTAGTAAAAATATTTTCGACGACAGCCCGTGCCGCGAATGAGAAACGCCGAGACATTGCCGAATTTGTCCCCGACCATGAAGTCGTTCCTCTGTCGTGACTGAATTTTTGATCGTTAGGCATACATACGTGC